GAGCGGTTTCCAGTGCAACCACAAGTTACTGGTATCAGCAAAATTTGGTCGGGTATCAGCTTGTTATTATCAGGGTCCAAGTTACTGGCTCTTGCAATGGATAAAGGACTGGTGTCAAATAAATTAGATATGCTGGTCAGACTCAAAAAATTTGGAGACTGAGCAATGTATGTTACATAGGTTTCACATGAAGGAGGTGAATCAGCTGGGCATGAAAAGTTTGTGTTTGTTCCATTGGCCTGTTGTGATTGAGATGCAATATTAGTGGAAAACAACACGAGTGCAAGACAAAGAATCTGAGAACAGAGAGGAAGAAAGCAAGAGAAGACAGCCATCGTTGTGAACAAATGTAAGTTATGAGGGAAGGAATAAAGAGTCTATTATCACAGGCACTCTGTGTTGTTGTTATGAAGCATTCGTTGTCAATAAAAATATCCATTGGTTTAATAAAAAAAATCTGCTCCCGTCAGTGTCATTAGCTTTAACTATATTTTCTTTTAGCTTTCAGAATCCTCGACACTGTGGACACGTCAATATTTATATTAGCCAAATTGTATGCAATTCACGCGCATGATATAAAAATGGCAATATAGTAGTTTTGTAATGCCGAATCAAACTTTTGGACGGCCAGTTAATGTTCCAACCAGTTCTATCTATGCACGATATTAGCCAGCAAGGAGACACCTACAGAGTACAGACCAACTAAACTTCATGATCTCTTCGGGTAGGGGTAGCTTTGGTTAGACTTTTAACAAGGACCAAGACAATTATTTGTTTATGTAATTTATAGTTTTATACAGGCATCAAACAGTTTATTTGCTATTGTAATTAATACATGCAACACACAACTTAAAATGTTGAATCGTCAATTTGCATAGGATTCAACATAAGAAAGCTTTATCAAATTCACCTTAATTTAATTTTTAATCAAAGATAATCAATATAAATGGGCTGCCTTTAGCAGCTGAGGAAGACGTAGACCAAATAATAGATTTATGAGTGCAGTAGCCTACTACTTACTAAAATATCTTTCAGATTTATTATATGTTACGTATTTCTGGGATATGCCAATTCGTGTAGTAGTATTGTTTGCATTGCCGTCCTCATCTTACTCTCTCTTAACACCCTTTTCTCACCCTTTTTTAGTAACCGAGTGCATCTTTTGTTTATACGTCTTAACTGAAATTTGTAACCAACTACTTTTGTAAGAAAATAAAATGAATTGAAAATTGCAATAAGATAACTAATAAGAATACAAAATGATAATAATTAGATGCCCTGCAACTTGCATCAGTCAGCAGCCGACTGAATGTAGCTTCTCCACACGTTAAGAGCTTCATTAATTTTGTGATTAAGCAAAGATGACTTCCAGTACTAGATTAAGTGGATACAACGAAACATTTGGTAGCCATCAGAGCAAGGACTCATTTCTGAGTATCAACTAACGTCCTAGACTACAACTTCCAGAACTCTAATAAATACAGCAACTTAAATTTTTGCACTCAACCTCTCCGTCTAAAAAATCCCAAGTACTATGGGTATTGATTTCAAGGTTTTAAATTGGGTCACAGTCACAATTACATCACAGTCCTTGATATTGTAGAAAATTACAGAGTAATGCAACCGCAGTTGAGGTCACAAATACCAAAAACCCTTGGTGTTGCAGCAATAATTGCAATTGTGAACCGGTTTTTAAAACCTTGATTGTTTTTCACCTCATCACCTGTAATAATGTGTTGTGATGCAGAAACCCACACCTATTGTATAGACCTATGGATAGCCCCCATTTTAAGCAAAAGAATTTGAATAAATATCATAAACTCTAGTGAGATCTGCAGAGCTGACAGTCCACACATGACCCTGCAATGCATGTGGAAGGACTGTATTTATTTCCTCACAACTCTCTTCCACTGCTGCAGCCTCTCTCCGTCTCCCCTCTTGCCAGAGGCTCTTTACCAGTAAATCTTTGGTGGCAGAGTCAGGCATCACACCTGAATTCTTCATGTCTTCAAATAGCCTCCACGCTAGAGCAGCTCTTTTTGACTTGCAATAACCTTGGATTAATACCTTATATAAATAAGCATCTGGCTCTAGACCGCTCTGTCTAACCATTGAAAAGAGCTTTTGCACTGTTTTTATGTCTCCAAGCTGTGAAAAATAGTGCATCAGGCCTGAAAATGTCTGCATATCTGGGCAAATACCATTTAGAATCATATCATCAAGCATATCCAGGGCCTCAGAATTCCTTCCACACTTCGTTAATGTTCTTAGAAGAGAGGAATACAGAAGCATCAGGTTAACCTTTGATATGGGCCCGCAAAGTACTCGATCATCATTGAAAACCTTCAGAGCAGCATCAGCATTTTTTGAGATCCCATAAAAATCAAGGATTAGTCTGATGGTGCTGCATGGTAGTCTCATTCCCTCCCTTCTGATCTTGGAGATGAGTCCATCAACCAAGTCATTGCGTCCATGGCGTGCTAGAAGGGTCATAATTCTTTGTACTGTGTATATGTCATGACTAAATCCATGTTGACTAGCAACCCAGCAGAAGAAATTCCATGCAGCTTCTGGCGTTTTGAAATTCCTAAGCATCTTGCAGACCAATCTTGTTGTCCACACAAAGTTTGCACCCTCTAGTGCTGCTACCTCATCAGGACTCCAATTCCGCAAGGCACTGACCAGAGCCCGTGGGTCCAGCCATGGTTTTAATTGAATCCCATCAATATGATCACATTGACAGGCACCAGTTATATTCTCATCTTCACCATCATTCTCATTCTCTCCTTCATCCTCATCACCACTATCAATAGAATAACTTACACTCCTGATTCTCTCATCAGGCAAAATTTCTCTTAACAATTGCTCCTTGTCTTTAAGAACCACTTCCTTCTTCATCTGCTGCAGCAACAAACCCATGCCTCTACTAGGCAATATTCCATCAACTTGCATCTCCTCAACTAAAACCATGGCTTCATCAAAGCGTTTGCTAGCTACAAAACCCTCAACCAGAACGGAGTACTGTTTCAAAGTGCGTTTGATCCTCATCAAAGGCAACAGGTTAAAAACCTCCATTGCTTCTGATAACCTCCGGCACTTCACGAGGTGTTCAATTATTACAGTATAGGTTCTGCAATTCGGAAGAGACCCTTCTTCAATCATCCTGTGAAAAACTGTAACAGCCTCAGAGTCCTTTCCCTTCTGTGCATAAAGAGCCAAAACAATGTTATAAGATTCAGCACAGAGATGATTATTCTCTAGTGTATACTTTTCCCACGCTTGAAGAACAGTGTCAAGGTCCCCAGCTGCAGCATGCCACTGCATGAGATTCATAAAGCTAATCCTAACAGTGCCAAACCGGTTGGCTCGGATATCATGAAGGAGAGATTTGAGCTCAGAGCGTCGACCAGACTTGGCAAGCACAGTGGCAAGTGCATGGAGTGTGTTCTGGGTGTGGGAAAAACGGGAATTATCTTGAAGGGCATGGACAAGGGATAGAGCGGAATCTGCAGAAGGGGCAGAACGAAGGGCGTGAGTGACCACAAAAGAGTCCAAAAGACGGTGGTTTATGAGAGAAGGAAGGGAGGAGTTGGGAGTGTTGGAGCGAAGAGTGAGTCTAATGGAGTCAATGAGTTTGGCACGGTTGAGGTAGTGACAAACTTTGGTGGCAAATGGTTCACGACAACGGGCATAGGAACGAGCTTGCACTTGCAAGGTTAACCTGTTCAACAGGTTAGCCTCGCAAAAGAACGACCTCAAGTGCATTGGCATTCACCTCTGCTGAGGTTGTTTTTGCTTACAGTTCGTAATCGAGGAACCGTTTTTATTCAGCATTGGGTGACGCAAATAATCAAACACTTGGTGTGCGCATGCATGAATGAGCGGGAACACGATCTTATGAATAAACACAATCCGGAACAGTAAGCTCAAATCTTTCTTTGGTCCAAAATCCAAATCACAAAGATTCTTCTTAATTTATTTTTTTTGGGGTCAAGGAACTTGAAATTTTGGTGCCTAACACGCTACATCGATTCACATATGATTTGGGACGCAAGTAAATTGAAGCCACCACAATCTTTTTAAGCCAGTCCAGGGACATCATCACGTCTCCAATTACGGCCAACATAAGAAATCCTCCCGGCCCATTGGGCTGATACATGTAACATATCTAGAGAGTCTAATTATTGAACAAAGGCTCACGTGGAATACATCATAAGCAGGTAAATATACTAATCAGTCTGCTTTGTATAGTAAAGTCTGGTCACATTATTAATTTCAATGGATCCAGTATACTAACTAACTCACTAATTAAATAAATTGGACATTTTTTAAAAAATAAAAAATTCAAAAAGAATCAGTGAAAAACGTCAAAAGAAAATTATTGACATATTGGGCGCATTTCAGTTACTTTTTAAAACCTTTTGCGAGGCTCATTTACGAGTAGAATCATAGAATGAATTGGAAGAACAACCATTTCTCTCATCACTCACCCTAATCCTTAGGTTTTTCCTCTCCACTTTCCACCATCGGAGAAGCAGCCCATGGAAAAGGAACCTAAAGATTCAATATATTCACCATTATCCACGAGCATTTCTCCTTTGTAAACTTTTTCCTTTCAATATGTTTTGCTAAACCCTCATTGTATTTAGGGTTAGATAATTTTTGTGGGATTCTTCCATGATAACCTTGATTTAATGTAACTCTTTTAAATCCTAATGTAATTACTCATTGTTGAGATTGATCTTGTATGTGTCATGTGTGTAATATGAAAAATCATTTACATGTGTTTTAATTTGTAAAATATTATATAATATTATATGATAAGTATCATGAAAAATTGAAATCTCAAGTGGTATATCGATTAAAAATAAAATAACTAAAAATATATAAATATAAGATAATTATTATTTCATGTACATTACACAAGTTGCTCAACTAGTATATTTATATTAAATCGAACAAAAGATTTTTTTTTTTTATGTATATAGAGATAAGAAAGGGGACAATTGTATAAATAAAGATCTATTAATAACTAGGCTTTTATTTATACATATACGAAATAATTAAAACACACTAGCAATTTTTATTTTCTTAGCGCATAAAATCACTAAAATACAATAGCTAAAAGTGATTAATGAACATGGACACGTCAAGCATGCATTCAAGGATCATAAATAAAGGGAATCAAACACAAATCGTTTTTCCTCCCAATAGCCAATCCGAAACGTTCAGTCATGTTTATATTCTCAGGTTTCATCCCATTTGGGAGTTCCCAATTGAAGTGATAGAGTAATAGAGCCAATGGAAGCATAATGCTGGCTAAACCAAATGTGATGCTTGGGCACATTCTCCTTCCTGCCCCAAATGGTAGATACTCAAAGTTATTCCCTTTGAAATCGATAGGACTACCATCGAATCTCTCAGGGATAAATCTATCTGCATCAGTCCAGTATTGAGGATCCCTACAAATTGCCCATACATTTATCATGACTTTAGTCTTGACAGGTATTTCATACCCATCAATAATGGTTTGTTTAGAGCATTCTCTAGGGATCAATAAAGGAGTAGGAGGGTGTACCCTCAATGTCTCTTTGATCACCAACTTCAAATACGTTAGTTGCTCTAGATCACTTTCATCAATTATTTCCTTTCCTTTAAATACTTGTCTTAACTCAGCCTGTACTTTCTCCCTCACTTTTGGATTTCTCATCATTTCTGTCATAGCCCACTCTAGTGTTGATGCTGAAGTATCAGTTCCACCAGTGAATATGTCCTAGTAAAAAATAATCAAGCTTTTTCATATAAATTTTGGTAAAATGAAAGGAGAATTTGTATCTATTATACCATAAAACTGTATATTTTATGCATAAAAAATTAAGATAAAATGTAAAGAAATAGAAAAATATAATTTTATAAAAATTGTTAGTGTGAAAAGGCATAACTCGAAAAGAGAAATATGATGAAGAGCATGTTTGGGACAAATTCAATCTTTTGAAGAGTGTAAATTACATGTTCAATAGACTGAGATGATCAAATATCATTGCTTTATTAAAATTAGGTGTCGAAGCAAATTCGTATACATGCAAATAGTTTTTCCAGTAATTTACTTACGTGGGATGCATAGGAAAACAAAGAAAGCACATGCATGTGACCTATTCCGGTAGATTTAAATAAAAGATAAGTGTTTTTTGCGGTATTTACTAACCAGTATCAAAGCTTTGACGTTACTAGTGGTCATTTTGATGTCAAGATTGTCACTTTGTTGGATTCTGAGAAGAACATCAACAAGATCTTCTTCCTCTGCTTCAACTCTTCCTTCTTTTACTCCTATTTTCCTTTCTTGATGGTCTTTGACAATGATCTCCAAGACCTTGTCAACCTGCTTATGCAACTTCTCCAATTTGGCCTTCTTCCCAGTTATGAAATGTATAAATTTCATTGAAGGAAACAAATCAGAAAGGTCAAATCCTCCCACAGATGCTACCATTTTCCGAATCAAAGACACAAACTCAGCCTGGTCCTTAGATTTTCTACCAACTGTTGCCCTGGAAACAGAATCATTTATCAGTGAGAAAATTCTGCTAGTGAGATTGATTGGTGAACCTGCTGAAGCTCGAATTGAGTCTATAAACTTTGCTGTTTCGTCTTCTCTGATAAAAGAGAGAGACTGGACTCTCTTGGCACTAAGAAGTTCTGACACGAGTATTTTCTTCATTTGTCTCCAGTAGTCACCGTATGGAGCAAAAACAATGTCTTTTCCACCGTAGGAAAAGATTTGTGCAGATATAAGATGTGGCCTCTGCAGAAAATTGGCATCGTGCGTTTTGGTTATTTCCTTGGCCATGGTGGGGGAGGATGCCACCACTGCTGAAATTTGACCTAGTTGGAGGTGCATGAGAGGACCATGTTTATGGGAAAGTTGTCTGAGAGCATGATGTGGAAGTGAACCTGCTAATGCTAGTTGATGCAGGTTCCCTATGATGGCTATCTTCTTTGGACCAGGGGGTAACTTGTCACTGGTTTTTGGCTTGTAGTTTTTAAGGAGACAATGCAAGAGCAACAACACAAAGAAGGTAACAACAATCACAAGTTGAGAATATTCCATGCCTTTCAGGGTTCAAACTGGAATGTAATCAAGTTTCCTCACAATACTGAGATACTGCTTTTTATTTATACAACTCTTTTAAATGAATAAAGTAGTGTTATTCTTTTGAGTTAATTACTTATACACTCATACTTTAAAGTTTATTTACACCGAGAACTAATTATATCTTTTAATTGTATCATTTTACTATAAATACATTTATTTTTAACAGTGACATGACACAATTAAAAAATATAATTGATTGTTCGTGTAAAAAAAATTTATACTAGCAGTGTATAGGTAATTAATTAACTTTATTTTTTTTTTCATTAGTTTTTCAAGTAGAAAAGCTTAGGCAACTAATCTTTTTTAGTTAGTGAAATTTATAGTTTATAGCTCTTTTAAGCATTAAAAAAATGAGAAAATTAATAAATCACCCACCTCTGTCACTAAACTATAAATAATTAAGTATGATAAGTTTATTAATTATTATAATCAATAAATAAAAAATTATACCTTTTTTGTTAGTCGACTTTATACCGTCTTTTTTATTAGTCGACTTTATACCGTTATTATAATCAATAAATAAAAAATCTTAAACCCTAAACTTTTAAAAAATATCAAATCAATTCTTAAACATTAATAAAATATACCAATTCAGACGCTAAAATGATAAATATTTAATACTTGATGAATTACTATGGAATTTTATTATTTTATAGAAAAGATTAAACTTAAAAGAATTGAAGGCTGATTGACTTTGAAATGTCTGAGGACAACGGTCTGTACATTAATCTAATTATTAATATTATTTTAAAGATCCATGATGCGAAGACTTGAACGAGTCCATGGTATTACGTTTTTCTTTTTCGAGTCAAAATGTTTTTTTTTTCCTTCCTGATAGCTATCAAGAAAACTTGCATTGTTATGCATATTTTGATTTTTAATATTAGCTTCTTTTTTTTTGTTGATTATGGCAGATTTTGAATTTAGGTTCGATGCCTATTCTTCAACCTCATTGGATCAGATACGTATCCACTGATCAACAAAAGGTAGATACGCATCCACTGATAATAAAAAAATATATATATATACACATCCAATACGTTAAAAGCTGTTGAATTTTGTGTCACTTAATTAATGAACTTTAATTGGTCCTCTACAAACTCTTATATCATCATCCATTGGTTTTAACAAAATAAAGTCCATGCATATTTTCAAATTCATGTATAAAACTAATGATTTTGGGCGTTTCCTTTCCTAAGATTTAAGTAAGGATAAATTAGAAATTGATCGAATTTGAATATATGATTTAATTGAAAACCACATTAATTACTCGACTGGAACGAAATTGTTTTATGTAAAAAAATACTTATGATTTCTATATAAAAAAATGCATTTTGAGGAGAAAGGGAGGGAATAAGAAATTTAGAACCTTAAATAAAAGAGGCAAGAATAAAAACATCAATGATAATCACTATTCACTATTCACCTTGATTTGAACAAACTATTAATTAATAATAAAAAATTAAGCTTATAATTAAAAATAATTTTATGTATAGAATATCATCAACTTAAATACACATCAACCTCCTCTCTAAGATCATAATAGATATTTTTAATCTATTATATAAAATTTTCTCCCCTTTCTATTCTAGTAATATAACTTGAGTCATATTTCATAACTCAATAAAAGATAAAGATAGCTTAAGATCAATGTCTCACTTAAATATGTACTCATGAACTTCTAGTATATAAGATCATAACAAATACTTTCATTTTCCTATGTAGATTGTTCTCTGCTTCTTTTCCAGTAATATAACTTATAAATAAAAGATAATGTCAGTTTAAGAGAACCTCCAACGAAGGTTTCTTAACCTATCCCCTATATTTAAGCATTATATCTAATAAGAAATGTCTATTAGAGTTGGCTTATATAGCACAAAAAATTGAAAACTTTTTAACTTCATCCCTTGTTGAAGCAACAAAGGTTGGATTTATGAGTCTTTCACATGGAGTGTTTGATGGAAACTTGGTTGGAGAATCCGGATTGATGTGAATCCTCTTCAAGTTCCTCCCTAGATCTTTGGCTCCTTGATTCTTCCTATGCTTTGCTAAGGTCTCCAATGGAGGAGGAGACCTTAGAACCACCAAGGTTTGGTGGAGAACTCTCCCAAGAGGCGCCACTCCTTGATGAAGAGATATCCAAAAGTCTTTAACATCTTTGATATTCATCCAATTCTCTTATCCCTTCCATAGAAGAGTGTGGTGAGAATTGAAGAGACTTATCTCTTCACCAAGGAGTGACGTCTCTTGAGAGAGTTCCCCACCAAACCGTGGTGGTTCTAAGGTCTCTTCCTCCATTGGAGACCTTAGAGAAGCTTAAGAATAATCAAGGAGCCAAAGGTCTAGGGAGGAACTTGAAGAGGATTCACATCAATCCAGATTCTCCAACAAGTTTTCCATCAGTGTTGTAATTGGTTGGAGAAACATCTTCTCCCATGCTGAAACCAAAACCAAAACAAGGGATAAAAAAAAGTGTGGGTGCTTAGAAACAACTTTCATTAGAGTAAAAATTGTAAAAATGTAATATGAGTTATTTATAAGTGATATAACACAGTAAAATCTATTAAAAGTGAAAGGAAGTTACTTCTAAAACAATTTTCATTGTAAATGCTCTAAGATACATATCAATTAATCAAATGTTAATTTTATGAAAGGTAAATAATTTTATGAAAAATAAATATAATGTCTTGTTATCAGAATGACCATGTCCATTTCGCTCATTTCGTTTTCGTTTCTAATATGGGTAATTGGGTATCAAAATTAATAACATCCCAATTCCGTTCATTTAATTTTTAATGTGTTATATGTGTCTTATATGTGACAGTTCCTTTCATTCATATCATTTCATATATTTTAAGTAATAATAATTTAAAAATAAATATTAAGTTATTTAACATTTTCTGACCTCTAATCCTATTATATTGGCTTTATCTTGAAAACAAAGTACTAAATTGCTTTGAAATTAAACTGGTCAGCAGTGTTGACCCGTGTGTCGCACGAGTCATATTTTCCATGAATATATCTCAACATATATTTATTGCAACAAACAACTTCCCAAAGATGCTTAATTGCTTAACCAAAACCAAGAACTTTGTCGATATATTGACTGTATTATACACTCTTCCATTATTCACTATACAGTCGTGGATATTTTCAATTAGTATGTCATGGTCAAATATTCACTTATGACCTAATCTTCTTTTTCTTTCTTTCTTAGGCAACTTATTCAATCCTATTCGACCCCATACCCATGAGACCATTTCAACGACTCAACGATGATGTACTATACTTGTGAGGCCCAGAAATTATAGTGTAATTCAGGGAACTGCTAAATCCTAAAAAAATATTAGCAATTATATTAAGTAACTTCGACGTTTGTAAATTGTTAAATTTATTACTTAGATATGTTGAGGACTAACTATTCCAATGAGATTGTTTTCTTTTTCTTTGTGGGGGCAGGATGAGAAAGTTTCCACTAGGGTGACCCATTCTGGCATTCTTGTTCTTAACATTAAATACGACAACCATTTACATAAACCTTTTGAATTCAATTGTGTAATTTTTTAGTGGCGTGACTTTTATGAGTTCTGTCCATACTTAAGTGAGCGGTATTTCACTTTCAACATAATATTCAAATTCTTCTTAAAAAATGTCCATTTTTAAAATTTAATTTTATCTATTGTGGAATTTCTTTATTGAAACCTTCAAGTGTATCAATTTATTGTAAGTAATAATTAAAACAGCAAAAAAAAAAAAAACAATCAAATCAACCAATATTATTAAAAATAGGTTGATTCGGGTCTATCGGATTCAATATTACTAATTTAAATCCATTATAAAACTAAGACTTTAAAAATATTTGAAATCTAGGTTTAAAACTAACCACTAATTAACAATAACATCCAACCTGATCAAAATAATTATCCAAAAATCTTTCAAACTCTAATCACACAATTTTTCTTTGCTATTTACAACCTAATAATATCTACAACCCAAAGGATTAATTTCAATAATAGTTAAAATAAATTTTAAAAAAATAAGTATTCAAAATTGGGATTGATGAATTTTTTTTCTCTCAAATAGTGGTAAAACCTAATGCACTCCCAATGGCAATACTACTAGACGTAAAACACTAGTAACATGATAGATTATGGGTAGAGAGATCCATCCAATAAGAAACAAAATAGTATACAATCCTTAATCATGTTAGGATTATTGGTAGACTTCTAAACCCTAAACAGTTGTACCAATTACAACTACTTAACCATTTTTATCAATCCAAATTGTTTCTTTTTCTTTAATATTTCATTGACCAGCAAATTCATACAAAATTTAAATAAATTAGTCGCAAATCAGTATTTTGACAAACCTTTTAGTCAAATTTTAAAATTATTTAAAGAAAAAACTGAGTTTCCAACAAAGTTCTAACGAAATTTAACATCCTTGAAGCAAAATTTGTAAATTACTAATGTGATGTGAAAAGAATGCGGATTAAATTTGTAAATTACAGATTGTTGAGTCCCCACTGTTTTTCTTCATGTAGCCTCGGTGGCTGATTGTAGTGGCTTACGTTTCTTACGTTTTTCACGTGTATGAATTTTGAAACTCTGTCTGGATCTTTGGCGCAACTCAAAACAGTGTAACTTAACCTCGTTGTTCTTCGAAAAATATAAGATTTCAAAATTCGCATGCAACACTGGAATAATTCTATCTATACTTCCATTGCTTCAGCTTCCTGTATTTAGTTATATAGAACATGCTGTGCCACATTTGACACGAAATTAAGCAAACGCAAGGTAGGAGGAGTAATTTTATTCCTTATTTTGTCTCGTGTTGAACTATTTGATATTAAAATCTTTGAACTATAATTTATATGACCAAGCTGAGATGACATGTATAGGCCAGAAAAATTACCTTTCAAAATTTCAAATTGGAAAACTTCCTGTCATATGGATATGGTCAAGGGTTCTTTTGAGCCCATACTTGAGCATTGCTTGGTTACCCAATCTGAATCCATCTCCATAAGCTGAGGAGGTATCTGACTCAATCTGGTGTTTAAAAAACTCACCTAGTTTCTTCTCAAAGTCGGACCGTTTACCCTTCTTTGTTGATGTAGAAGAGGAGGAAGGTGATGATAACGATGAAGACGACGATGACGATGCACCGTCATTCCCATATCCAGTATAAAGCTCTGAATCTAACCACATATGAGCCAAGACTTGGCAGATTCCTTCTTCAACTTCTGGACTGAGGTTGGGATAACCTGTCAAAACCCCAGAAATTTTGTCCAACTTGGCACTATGAAACAAAAATATAAATTTTCTGCAGCATGTTAATAGCTGAATACCTTTAAGCCTAAGCCATGCATGCATCATCTCGTGAGCTAGGATTGATCCTGTTAACAACCTATAAACATAAAATTCTTGAATTATATATAGGGAATGTCATATGCAAGAACTGTAGATTATGAAAGTAGATTGCATACGAAGGATACCTAGGGAGGCCATACAAAACAAGAATAGCTGTCACTTCACAACGACGGGTCAGCCTATAAGGTTCAGTAATCATGTCTACTGCTCGGTAGCCTGCCCCAATCCTTGGCCTCCTTAAAATCTAGTATTACATGAAATATATAAAAGTAATAAAATCACTAGTTGATACACATTCTCTATAGCAGAATTAGATAGATGTGTGTCAAAACTCAATCTGCAGGAGGTGAGAAATCCATACAGTGGTGACAGTTTGCTCTTCTGACAAGCAGAGTCCTCTAGTTTCAGGTAAGTGGTGATGACCCTACATTCAACAGTGAGAAACAAAAGAACATCTCCAAGTTAGGACATAGAAAAGGAGGGGGGAAGAAAGAATAGAAATAACAACATTCCATGAATGAAATTGAAAGTTCAACACATTAACACTTGCATTCTTTTCTCCCTCCATGGCTTCATTCAAAGCTTGTCTCTCAACCAAGAGCATAGGAACTTGCTGCTCCAATTTCATATTTAAACCTTCATAAAATTCTTGTATTTCAAGGTAGAGAGGTTGGCATTCATGAGTATCCATAACTGACGAGTCTAGACACTCTAAACATAGCTTTCGACCATCATCAAGCAAAAGATATTTTGTATCTCTTGGCTGCACTGATTGAAAATCAAAAAAAAAAAAAAAAAAAGGGAAGGGAAGGGATCCATCAGTAGCTCCCAATTGCTAAAAGTAGGATGAAATGTTTTGGAAGCTAAAAAAAAAAAAAAAAAAAAAGGGAAGGGAAGGGATCCATCAGTAGCTCCCAATTGCTAAAAGTAGGATGAAATGTTTTGGAAGCTAACATAACTGACCTCCATTCTTTCGCAGCTACAACAACGAGGAGTGCCATCAAGCTCATGAGAAGGGCAATATTTTTGTAGCCAGAAAGGATGAGCTCTATACTCAATGAGGCCAGCTGAATTAGTTGGGATCTGCATATAAAGAATCAATAATTCTAGTTTACTGAACAATATATATTACTAGCAACATTTTTAAAAGGCAGACTTAGTTTTCTTTTTAAGAGGAAAAAAGCATCACATTTTCACCCCTGTGGATTATAGACTTAGTTTTCTTTTTAATAGGAAAAAGCATCACACTTACAAGAAAAAGTGTTTGATGTAGATTAGAAGATTATGGTTTGGTTTTCAATTTCCTTGAAATCTGAAAATCTCAATTATATTGGATAATGAAAATGACCTCATAGCTCAAATATTACAGTAAATAGCTATGATTAGCATTTGAGGCTAATCAGGCTATTAAATGAAAAACCGTGTTATGTTTATGTTAACAAGGCTAATTTTATCCGATTACTTGACACTTGACAGCATATTTTGGTAGAAATTTAAACTAGAATAACTAGAAAACCCTAGACCTTAGATAGGATTGAACAAGAAAAACACAATGATTGTTACCCTTAAGTGGTTAATCCAGGATTTCCTGAAAAGTATTAAGACAGTTATTAAATTAAGTAAAACATAACTAAAACTGATTCATGAAGGGGTTCAAGCTAATTATTAAAATTTCAGAAGCAATCATACTTATATAGTCTGGCCCAAAAGACAAAATAAACTAATATCAGCTCCCTGTTCAGGGAGCTTACATAATGTTACTTAAGTTAGGTAACTGACCCATGGCCATGATTTGTTATAAAGATTAAACAACTACTAAGTTCAGCATAACTACCTAAGTAGTATGTATAGTTCTGAATTCTGATCTTTCTGAGACAAGAGAACAACTCAATATCAACAGAAAACAATTGAAGAAATTGCTTAAGCACATCAAAATTTATGAAACCTATAATAGAAAACAAGCACACAGAATTGACTAATAGACAACTGTAAGTGAAAACAACTTTGAAGATACTTACATAGTTCTTGCAAACATCACATCTTGGGTGATGTTTATCCCTATAGCATGATTTATGGTAAGGGCGATTGCTAGACATGGAAAACTGTAAAGGAATGAATTAAGCATAAACATATTGAGATTGACCAAAAAATAGAGAAATCATTTGAAGATCTTCATTTATGAAGCTAAGAATATAGTTTTGACTTCTTCTTTTTTCTGTTGAATTAAATTCAGTTTTGCAAACCAAGCAGCAAAAGAAAACAAGACTAAGTCTCTAACCTCATAATCAGTGATTGGAAGATGGCACGCATGGCAGCAGAAGCATTCTGGATGCCAGACAGCTCCTATGCAACTTAAAAATCTTCCTTGCCCAATCTCAGTCTTGCATCCAGCACAGATTCTGCAGGTAGATTAGATTTTACAGAAAAAGGTTATATCTTTGTTTTAATAATTAAGAGAGATTTATGAAACCTTGAAAAAAAAATTTTAAACATGTCTATTGTATGGATTCAAAATATTGGAATGGAGGAGAGTATTTTAATTTTCTTAGGTGGTCATAAAATCACTCCAAGATATTCTATAGGATGTTCTCCTCAATCACCATAAATAAGAAAGGTACAAAAGAAAACTTAGGAAAACTAACAGATGCCAAGGTGTCATGCATAAAATCCCAATCCAGTATTTTTCCCATTTCAAAGATTCAGACTAGAATCTCTTAAAATAAGATTGGGTTACCTTGTGTTAAGTCCAGATCAGTTAGTTGTATAGCCTATCACTGAGGTAAGCAATACTTAAAAGTGAAGTTTCAAAACATATTGTTTGCTAAGTTTTTATTTTTTATTTTTGGCACAAGCATTGCATTATTGGTTCCTTCATTTAGAACTTGTGAACTTCAGCAATTTCCATAAACAGTATAAATTTGCTATATAGATAAATATGTGATCATACCCACAATTACCTGTATCCAGAGGGAAAGAGGTGAGGAATAGATAAAAGTGAAGAATCATTGCCATATTGAGGCAGAGAACCAATTTCCAAACTTTCTTGAATTGCCCTAGCAAGTTGCTCGTCTTCCTCAAGTTGAATTTTAGCAAGACGTTGATCCTCATCTTGTTGAATTTTAGCAAGACGTTGATCCTCATCTCGTTGAATTTTAGCAAGATGCTCTTCTTCTTCTTGTTGAATTTTAGCAAGACGTTCATCTTCTTCTTGTTGAATTTTAGCAAGACGTTCATCTTCTTCTTGTTGAATTTTAGCAAGCTGTTCATCCTCATCTAGATGAACTCTACCAATATGCTCATCTTCCTCATCATCAATTATACATAGTTGCTCATCTTCAGATTGAGAATCATCCTCTAGGATATTATGAGACAAAAAACATGAGACCTTTTTGTAATACTTTGGTGTGGGAATAATTAATTGATTAGGACATTCATTTCTGAACACATATCCCCATAATTGTAGTAATTTAAAATTTCATTTCTTAGCATCACTCTGATTAGGATGTAAATGAAGTACTCAACTAATAGCACCAGAACCTTTGATCAACAAAGCATAATTTACATAAACAAGAATGAAGAAGACACATGAATAGGCATAAAAAGACAGGAAATAACATAAGAGGCATGTAAGACCTTGTAATAAATCAATGAGCATTTTGGTTAGATTCAGATTTTCAAGTTTAGGTACCTCATATGCAGTTTGCAGAATAATAATGGAATTAATTAAGCCAAACTAACCAGAAAATGAACTTTAGCTACCAAGTTGCAGAAGCATAAATCTTACCAAGAACTTGTTTCCTTTCCTGATCCTCCTCTGACAGAGAGATTGCAATTGCACGATCAATGTCTTCTTTCTCAATGTCCGTCAAATCATCCTGCATTGAGTCAGCAACTATTACAAATTCAGAGTATCTGCCAAAGTCTCAGAAAAATTGGTAGCTTGCTAAATCCATGACAATGTGAAAGCTAAAGTCACATAAAAGTAACTCAATGGCATGAAATGTCGTGACTTTTGACAATGATTTTAATTCTTATTAGAAATGGAAAACCCCGATTACCATTGAACTACGATGATTATCCCAAATTCTGTCCTCTCCATATCTGCCTTGGTATTGTCCACGTGAAACTTTATGATCAGAGCCCTTAAGCAACTTGGTAAACCAACCCATTTCATGCAAAATTATTCAACTTCAGGTTGGCAAACTTTGTCTGAAAATATGCCAAACAAGTAGGTAAGGAAATATATTCCACAACTCATATAGAGGGAATTCTACAGACCACTAAGCTTATTGAAAAAAGTAAACGCTATGCCCCGATTCCAAACTTCAAAATTCAAATGCAGCATGATCGTCCCTCTAGAAAAGCTTTTAACCAGCATCAACAACTACAATAATACACATATATATATATATATATATATATATATATAGGCAACTGTATCATACATATATTGAAACTGTATCAAGTGTAAGAAGTAAGATGAGAGATTGCGAGGAGAACAAATCTCAATCGTGGATAGTTAAGATTAAAAAAAATCAAAACAAAATGGATTTTTGGCATATGATGGTAGGAGTGAACCTCAACTGTATAATTGAAATGGATGATTAAAATTAAAACAATCATCATTATCATTATCTATGTATAATTATATGACGCAGATTTGTTCGTCTCACCTATATCTATCAGTGCGTGTGTCCACTGTTCAGCATCGACAAATCTCAAAATAAGCAAAACAAGAAGAACTTCCTCCAGTCATAGACTCATAGGTAACCGTTCACTTCCCCAACACTCAATAAGGCTGCTCTCGATAAATAATTCACCCAAATTAACTTACTTCAGAAAAACAAAAAGATAATATTCAAAAAAAAAAAATCATCAAACCAACCACACACACATATTGATAAAAGATTAACAGAAGAGATATCGAAAGGAAAAAAAAAAAAAAAAAAAAAAAAAAAAAAAGAGAGAGAGAGAACAATAGCCAGTTAGAAGAAGGATGAAGTGAGAACTGACCAGGAAGAGATTAAGAATCTGTAGAGACAATGGAATCTGAGGAATCAGAATTTTAGAACCCAATAAAAAAATAAATAAAAAGAGATCGTAAAGGGGTTAGAGTAAAGTAATGGATATAGTATGGTCATATACCTTGGTGGTACCAAGTAGCTATTGAAACCAAAAGACATAAAGAAAAGGGAGGAAGAGTACTTGGATTCTACTCAAAAAGGCAAATAGGAACAGTGAAATCTTTTTAAGGTAATATTATAATTATTAGCGTTCTCTATAAGACACGTCGGGGTTGAAGATAGAGAGAGAATCGGAGAGGCACTGAATAAATTTCAATGACACTGTCTACGTCAGCATGTGGGTCCTCTTCCATTGTCCATAACCCACCAAAGTTTAAACTTTTTCTGGTAGAGAGAAGTGGAAGACTCGTTTCATCTTTCACTTTGAAGTTAGGAACACATCAAAATGGATAGAACAAACGTGTTTTATTTTGGTTTTTATTCATTGATGAGATATAAAGAATGGAATATTAGAAAACACTTCAATAATGATACAATTATTCATTTCATGTTTCCTGATATCGTTTTCATAACATCTGTTAAAATATTCTTTTTTCTTTAATTTCATATTTTCTTAAATTTATCAGAACATTTTTACTTTGAACCAGAGTGAAGTGACCTTTTCAGCAAAGGTGATACGGATTTGAAATAAAATCATTTTTTTTTTTATATTTCATATCCTCCTAAATGAATTTGTCAAAAATAAAATAAACAATAGGTAATCTTATTAAAATGTTTCAAAGAAATTCATTATTAATTCTAAAATTGTATAAAGTTGTATTTTGTCTTAATCCAAATTTTATTAAAAGAAAAAAAAAAGAGTAAAATGGCCCTAACAGTGTAATTGAAAAAATGTGATTTAGTAGGGATATGAGAGGAGGAGGAGGGATTAGTAAGGATATCAAAATAATAAATAAATAAATAAATAAAAACACTTGTGTGTTTGAGAGGGATGATTTGTGTGAATTACATGAGAAATATGTGTAGTATTCGGTGAGATTTAATTCCCTTATAAAGAATTTGAGAGGATTTTGTATACTTTTCGACATAAATTTCTTGAGTTAAAATTATCACACGTTATTTACAAATAACTTATATTTAACTAAGTAATTTCATATTTAACTATGTAGTTATATATATATATATATATATATATATATATATATGTGTGT